ATCGATTTTGGCAAGGAGGTGGCGCACAAGAAGGCTTTTGAAATGGTGCTTGACGTTTTTTTTATAATCCCAGCGTCAAGCGGTTGCAAGTGCATGATTATATTTGCGGGCAAAAAAACCACCTTCACATTTTGAAGCATCACTTGCTTCGGGTGGGCGGCACAATGATGAAGAATCAGAAAAATCTTCTGATTCTTGCAGGCCATTCTTCTGTCAAGGAGAGACCGAAATTCTTCGAACAGGGCCGCCGTCATCCACGCTTTTTTGTTTGCGCGATAGACGCATGGCAAATAGCTCTCACACTTGAAACACCGAGGCTTCTGAAATTTTCCAAATAAGGTCTTAAGTTTTTCTGACCCGTCAGCGTTACAGCACAGAAGAACCGTTATTCTTTTTTTTGCTTCTTTTGCCTCCTTGACACGCTTCACCTTTTAAGCAAAGGCTCTTCTCAGGTTGAAGGTTAAAAAATAGGCCTGCCTCATCTGCGTTAAAAACATCACGAGGCTCATACCCCAAGATAAGCAACTCCAGCTTTGAGAGCCAGTCGCTAACAGTGGTCTCATCAGCCTTTTTAGCTTCCCCACAGATGCTTTTGTACAAGAGACCGTGTCTCGTCTCGAAACGATGGAACCATCCATCTGAGGCCTGGATCCGTCGATGTGCAGAGCAAGTGCGATCTCGTCAGTTTTTTTTACGCAAAACTTTGCCGTCAATGTTCACACCGGCTGCAGTAACCTTCTTGAACCAGATCAACAAAGCTTCAAGTTTAATGGGTTGGGCTGTCTTTGCTTGCTTTGCGTTGACGCTGAACAAAAAGCAGCACATTTTTCAATATTGTGTCCCGCTGCCCAACAATTGTGCTCAATGTCGACGTAGCGAGGCCTAGCTCTTTAGCCAACTCCGTGCGTTTTCTTTTGGGATCCTCACTGACCGTTCGAAGAATGTCCAGTTTCTCCTTAAAGAAGAGAGCCTTACGCTTGCGAGTCATGGCTTGCTCCGACTCCGCAAAAAGGCACAATGAAGCAAATACGTGTGCTCGACTGGGCAAGACAGTGTCGACAGCCTTCGCACTACAGTAACCACATGTCTGCACCAGAGAACACCCACCACCAAACAAAACCAAGATTGTATTGGATTTGTGTGGATGGATGGATGTATGGATAGATGGATGAATGGATGGATGCATCTGGCTGTGCCCTTTAGTACAGTGTTCTAGAAGGGGGTAGTGGGATCAGCAGCCAGAGCGCCCTACGCATTGAAGCAAGGCGGTGAATGCGGACGAGACCCGAATGCTAGTGGCGGCGCTTTAGTCGCGTGGGCTGGCTAGCGTGGCTGCTGCTGGTGCTTTGCGCACCGTTGTGACGGCCGCACGCATGGACAAACGAACACACCCAGCAATCAACCTAGACCCACGAACTTCCTAATTGTCATTAATGGCCTGTAATTTTATAAACCTGCTAAGACCGTATGCTCGGGCAAAGTTGACCTTAACGGAGCTAGTGCAAAAATAGTTCTTTCCTGAGTGCGCAAGATCCTCCTGCTCAGGAAGCCAGAGTTCCTGCAGTGGACCATCTGATTGAGAAAGGGACCCCAGTATCAGCTGAACGCATGTTTCAAAGTATTCCTGCAGAGCACAGAGAGTTGGTAGAGCAGAAGAGCGATGACTGTCTAATACATTATATGGCAGGTTATGTTGCTCGAAATTAAGTTTCTGAAGCACTATGACTGCATGGCCTGCAAGACCCTTGTTTTGGAGGCTCCTAATAGGAAAAGCATAAACACTGAGTTCACAGTGATATGTGATGACGGAAGTTTGTTGTATCCCTCACAGGAGCTTTTTAGGCAGTTAAGACATCTTCACTGCGTGTTTCAGCCCAGAGAAACTCTCCAGGGACAGCACAGTAGATGTGATGTTGCTGGTGAATGAGAACTTTTGTAATGCCCTAGGTTGCAGTCAGCATCCATATGCGCTCACAACAGAGTTGACCAAGTTCTATGGGCTGACCATGCTGCATTTTCATTTAAAAGGACTCAAGGAATCGCGACATGAATGGCGTAAAAAGAAATTGCATGCGAAGATCAGCCGCTGCTTTTAATGCCTCTCTCGTTGCAGCCATGTACTTTGAGAACACTGTGGTGTTTTGTGCCAATAAAGTTTTTTTGTTGCTAGACTTGTTTTTATTTTTTTTTTACTATGTCATAAAACTTCGCCATCTAGGGTCACTACTGCAGCCACGCCATAGTGGCATCGTCTTGGGAATAATTAGGTACAAAGCTCTCAGTGGATATGTAGAAACATAAACGAAACCGCTCGTAATGAAATTAATTTAGGGCATATGTTCGGAATGTGTTAGTACATGCGGCACTGCAGTTGCTTGGCGTAATCGTATTGTGAATGCAATTGACACCTAACGTATGACTATTGTGAGTGGCAAATGATATGGACAATTTAACCATTCAAACTTTTTATGTCTACAGTGTTCGCGAGCCTTTAGTTTACCAATCGGCTGCATCATCCTGCACCCGTTTTCTGTGCTTGTTGGGTCAGCTTTATTTTCACCCTAGCTTAAAACCTCCGCCTGTGCAGGTTTCTCTGCGCTTGTCTTAACTCATAGGAAGTTTTCAAAAACATGCTAAATAACTCCGCGCTTCCTTTTTTTGGTGAAACACCAAGTGCACACGGCTTTCTCTGCATTGCTGAGGCTTTGTGTTTCGCGTTCCGTACAGCTCACGAGCTGGTTGCGCCATCTCGCGGCGTCTACATCAGATGTCACACCCTCGCGCTCTCTCTCTGATTCCACTACCCCCTTCTAGAACTCTGTACCTTTAAATCGGACGATGGCTCATGGATGGATGGATGGATATGGCTTTACCCTTTAGATCAGGCGGTGGCTAGCGCCACCAAGCCGTAGTACTTATTGAGCCAAAATCTAGCTTTATTTTTTTTTTCCTTTAAATAGTGAGGTTGAGGATTCGTACTTTGCACTGAAGGGTTTAATTTTCACTTATGCCTTGACTTTAGTCACCAATCAGATAACCTCCTTCTAGTTAATTCTACCTGCTTAAAGTCTATTTTGCCCTCCCTGTTCCTAAACCCCAGTGCTTTGAAGAACTCTGTGCCATCATCCTGAACTATATGGTGAATCCCTTTACAGAACATTATCAAGTGTTCGACAGTTTCTTCTTCCTCTCCACACACACTGCATACCGTGTCTACCCCTTTGTATTTGGCCCGATATGTCTTGGTTCGTAATACTCCCATCCTGGCCTCAAACAGTAAAGAACTACCCCGAGTATTATCATAGATCCTTTCCTTGGCAATTTCCTGCTTAAAAGTTTGATAGATCTCTAGTACAGACTTCTTAATCATGCCGACTCTCCACATGTCGGTCTCAGCTTCCTTCACCTTCTTCTTAACCAATAATTCTTTTTGGTTTGGCCCCCTGCTGCTTTCTAAGTACTTACCAGTCAATTTCCTGGTTCGCTTCCTCCATTTTGTATCGACATTCTTCATGTACAAGTAAATGAATACCTTCCTTGCCCAACGCTCCTCCCCCATTTCTCTCAATCGCTTCTCAGATTTTAACTTGCTGCTAGCTTTTCTGCCCTCGAATGAGGGCAGGGAAGCTAGCAGCAAGATTCGCTCATGCCACCGTCGCCAGCGCCCTCTGGAGCCTTTAAGTGAAACCACAAGCCACAGAATTCCGGCGAATTCCGGCGTCCGAGATCACGCAGATCTTGAAGTCTGTCACTCGCCGCTTCCAGGCGGCGCTGGCAACGTGCCAAACTGGCGGCGTAGCATGCATTTCAGCACGTGCGTGCTGGCTGTTAGCTTGCGCGGCCGTCAGTGAGGTGGCGTTTATTCATATCAAACAACTCGGGTGAAAAATCAGTTTGTAACAACCGTACTTTTGAACATAGTAAATTAATGGGCCTTGGCCGGGATCACAGAAAAATTCGTATCACCCCGAATTTCGTACCAGCGGTGATCATATCATCGAGATTTTACTGTATACATAATTATTTTGATGATGTGCTAGTCGCCACACAAACTAGGGACAAGCACATCGCAACGCTCACGCAGTTCCTATAGCATGTCAGAGCTGCACTATTGACAATTAAACCCTCCAAAAAAGAGGTCGGCTTCAGATAAGTAAAATTTCTCGGTCACATTGTCGACCATAGTTTTCTTGGACCTCAGATAGAGGGTTAGATAAGATCCAGGCCGCAAAGAGGCCACAAACAAAGAAGTAAGTTTGGTCGTTTCTAGGCCTCACCGGGTATTACAGACACTTCCTGCCCAATTACACCGACGTGACCGCTCTATTGACTGAACTTACCAGGGAGAGGGCGCCCAACAAGGTTACTTGGGATCAATCTCAATAGCAAGCTTTCGAAACGCTGCTACACCTACCCTCCAGTCCAGCGTTACAAACTCCTGGTCGATAGCAATGTTGCCTGGTCGATAGCAATGTGTCCCGAAAATTGCCAAACAGCCAAAGGAGAAAAATTCAGTGCTAACTCAAACAAAAAGAGCCCAATCGGGCTAGTAGCAGCTCAATCTGGCAACCCTGACAAATTATTGCAGCTGTTGTATATATTGTTGTATATATTGGCGAGCAAATGCGTACAACACTGCTGCAGTCCGAGCACGTTCACGTTCAGTACTTCGTCGTCGTCATCCTCAGGCATCTACTTAGCCCGTGACAATATGACCAGTAGGTCTAATGTTGCCGAACCTGGACGCCTCATGATAATGATGTTGATGATGACGATAGCACTGGACAATGCCAAAACCAAAACTGCACACTGGAGCCAGAAATTATTGAGATCTGCATATAATACTGTACAGAAATTTTGCATAATAAAATCCAAAAAAAATCCTTGGACTATACATGCGCTTTTATGGTGTTATTTGAACTACACAGCTGTGCATAGGAGGATTTGACAGTAAAAACTGTTTTTATCAGCCACAATTAACAAAAAAAAAGGAAACTCACAGCTCGTTCCTCGCCAGCTTCCCTGCTGCTAGTGCAGGGCCCCAAGTGGTGTCCTTGGAGGCACAGCCGGCAAAACACAAACTGCAAGGACATGTGGTCAGTAATATCATCCTCTTGCTTTCTGGCAATTTCATTTTACTTATTCTGCACTGTACTTTAGGGTCAACACAATTCTTCCACACAATTGCAAAACATGAGAAATTTCCAATACAGGTTACTTTGCCTTTGTCAAGGTTACAAAATGTGACTCCATGCAACAAAGAGGATCTCACATATAGTTAGCACATTTGAAAACCATCTAGTCCCTTGAGAAAGATGCATAGTGCAAAACAGTACAAAAGACAATGAAATAATATAACTACAACAAAGAAGCACTATAAATATACAAGATTTGTCCAGAAAGTAGTGGGATTGAATTTAAAAAGAAAATATTTATCTGCAATTCTTACACACCACCTAAACTGTTTTGAATATATGGCCCTCGTGTATCGACACCACATTTTCAGTGACTCTGGCAATCAGTGAAAGCTCCCAGAATAAAGGAACTAAAATGCATTTCAGCTCCCTTGTCATGACCTCTTGAATGGTCTGGACTGAGCCGGGGTGCCATCCGCTCTTTTCAGTTGGGGTAAGAGGTCGAAGTAGCTTGAAGAAGCGACATAAAACTGTAGGGTGGCTGGGGAAGCTGTGTGATTTCATTTCGGTAGAGAGGCTCATGACAGCACATGAGAATTTGTCGGTCATAATTTTTACTGGTAATAGACAAGTTGCAAAAAAAAAGAGTTTGTTGCAGCCCCATCTGTACATATGTACAAGACACAGCCAATGCCCGCCATTGTGCATGAGCAGTTTCATGCCATTCACTGGCGTGCCTAGGACCTAGATCACACAAAATGCTCTAATGGAAATGACATGTCTATGTTAATGCTTCTTTTCACTCGCACAAGCGGCGTGTTTTTGCGTGTTTTTTTTTTAATTTGTTTTCATGCACAATGGCAGCTCAGCCCAGTGTTGCTTGAACACTTTGGGGCTTTTTCTAGTGTTGCTGGCATTTATGCGACTCGTCAATGAAGGCAGCCAGCATGATGTTAACGTCACACTGGAGGAAGTGGGATTGTTGACAAACTCTGGTGATTGTACGGTCAGATGCAAAAATTATTGTAAAAAGCAAAAGGAAGATTAAATTTAAAAAAACGCAACAAAAAGTCGACTCTTGTCTTATATACCGGTTATTGGCAGAAAAAAGTGGAAGTCTCGCAAAAATGGGCAGCTGAGGTCAAAAGCCTCTATTGCCATCATGAGCATCAGCAGCGGCGCCATTGGGCAAGGCTAGGCAAAGCCTACAGTGCTCTGGCAACGACAATTTGTTTCAGTTATCTACTGTCAGTCTGCTGTTTTCTTTTTTTTTTTTTACTTATTTCAGAAAGGAGTGCAAGTCGACGGCAATTTACGATAAGCTTTAAGAAAAAGCTGATCGAGTATGCTGAAGAGCACGGCAACCTGGCGGCACAACGTGAATTTGGTGCATCAGAGAAAAGTGTCCGATACTGGAGGAGTTAAAAGCAGCGCATCCCATTCTGCAACAACCAAAAAAAAAATTGCATCATTCTGTGGACGAACTGTAGTGCACCTCAAACTGGAAACGCTACTCCCTGAATTCGTTCGGAAGCTGCATGCAAGGACGCTACCCGTAAGAGCGGAGTGCATTCGCGTGAAAGCTCTCGATATCGCACGCGACTCTGGGCCCACAAGGGTGCAATTCAAGGGATCACCATCATGGGAGCGCCGATTTATGACGCGGAAGCACTTTGCGCTGAGGCGGTGTACTTCCGTCTTTCCGCAAATGCTGCTCGGTAATGCATTGAATGGAATGGAGGACGGTGCAGACTGGGACGTTACCAGTGAAAAACAGACGTAGTCAGACTCAAATTCAGACAAGTCTGAGTGACAGCACTTTGTGGCCTTCCGGCATTCAACTACATAAGATCAGTGTCGAAATAAGAAAAAATGTCACGACAGTGCAGATGGTTGTGTCACGTATTTATCAAGGTAAAGGTGCGCCGCAATGCTTTGCGATTTTAAAAATGTCTTTTTCAGAGATTCAAAGTTTGGGGGGGGGGGGGGGGGTTCGAGCTGTATTCCTGTTTCTATAATGAGCACCCTGCAGAAACTTTTATGAATGTATATTAGAATAGAAAATAGTACAATTTGTTGTAAAACTATGAGGAAATTGTCTATTCAAGTAAATAAATGTACTGTTCAATGTGATTGATTAAATCATTCGTAAAAAACACTGTCATCCGAAAACCGCCAAGTATTGCTTTTTTTCTAGCTCAATTTACAACAGTTACAAGCTATTTCACTGAACTTAAAGACATAATTTTGCAATATGGTTTAATAGTAGTAATAAACTTTTCACAGCACAGGTCAATCTAAATTGTTTGGCAGGTTTGCGCCTAGCAACTATACTTCAACCACGTAGAACTTGCCAGTATGCTCCAATGACCACTCTAAATTACAGTGGTAATTTTAATTTAGTGCATTGCAAGCACACTGTCTTATTTTTTTTTTCTAAACACCACACAAACAACATCTTGGCCTATGCTCACCAAAAATTATGACGTTTCTTTTTTTGCAAAAATGTAGCAGGTTTCACTTCCTGGTGCACTTTGGCACAACTGGCATCGCTATCACACCACTGTACAATCACCATCAACATTCCAACTCCCTGAGTCATTTGAAACCAGAGAATGATGTGTGGACTAAGGAGATCAGTAGCAGGATTTCATCAGTAAAAGCTCATTCATTTGAATTTCACGGGGGCACCCAATGAGTTCAAATTAAACCGAATCGGAACATAACAAAATTAATTGTAAAAAACACTACGAATCAAATTCGGGTTGTTGGAAAATCACTCAAAATATTTATGTACGAAAAGAATACGTGATCACTTTCTCCTTCTCTTCTTTGAATGGAATTGCCATAGCCTTGTTTTCCAACGCGTGCATTTGGTGGAAAGCATCCTTTTAAGAAAATAAAGAATAGGGGCGCGACACGCATAGCCTCCATTACCTTCGATGCTGAAGGCAGCATCAGCGCCTCATCCGGTGTCATCCTCACCTACATTGACGACGGAGGCTTCTCTTCCAGTCATCTAGGCGATAATATCATCATCGGTGATTGTGCCGCAGACCCCAGCACTGTGATACGCATCAACGTAGTTGTCGAATCTCATGCACCTCAGTGCATCCCCCAGTATGATAGAAATGACCTCTACCTCGCGCTCGTCGGGCTCGCAACCTGTGCGGTCATTGGCCACACAAAAGCCACTGTGGCGGAAACAATTGGCAACAGGTGTTGCCGTAACCTGATCCCAGGCCCACACCAACATATGAAGGCCATGAGCCTTTCGTACCTGTGATGCACAACACCGAATGCTCTGACATGTGGCACCTGTAAAAGCACTTCAATGACCCCTGTTATGTTGTCATTTTAAGAATAGAATTGGCAATACTACAGTGTTCGCAGGCGCCTAGCGTAGCTTCTCCAACAGTTCAGGGCAGCGGTTATAGAATTCGGGACCAACTGCCATCATTCGTAGTAGGCGAGGACATGGCGAAGTATCTCGTCAAGTTTGAACACGTCTGTGAGCGAAATGCTTTGGAGCGGTCTCTTTGGGCGCAGAACCTGTTAGCTCTTCTTCCCGGCGAAGTGTCCGACGTGATAACTTGCTTGTCGAGGGAAGCGTTTGAGAGCTATGACGAGGTTAAGGAAGGGCTCTTGAGACGTTATAAGTTGTCACCCGAGGCTTTCAGGCGAAGGTTCCGGTAAGCTAAAAAGGGGAATGAGTCACATGTTTACTTCACGTTTCGTCTTAAAGCCGATTTAATTGAATGGCTCAACGACGAAGGTGTTTATGACGACCACGATAAAGTGGTAGAATGCATTGCATTGGAGCAATTCTACCGCTGCATCGAGGAGGATGTCAAGCTTTGGCTGCAGGACAGACTTGGTGAAGTACAGCTAAACAGGGCAGCAGAGTTAGCTGAGGAGTATTATACGATGAAGAACGTACAGCGCGAACACAAGACGGGAATACTAAAGAAGGGACACAGACAAGCGCAGCGCTTGTCTGTGTCCCTTCTTTAGTATTCCCGTCTTGTGTTCGCGCTGTACGTTCTTCATCATGCAATACCAACTAGCCCAAAGTTTCACTCTTCTAAGTATTATACTCGCCGAAAGTTGCATAGCAGGGCAGTGCGCGATGAAAAGGATGAAAGAAAAGAGGGTTTTTCAAAGAAACCTCATCAACGGAAACCCGCTCCGCACCATATTATCAAGAAGGACCCGTCTCTTACGAAGGACACTGTAGGGGAAGGGCAAACGGATGCGGAGAAATCGAGTGAGGTTCCTAAACAACGCACTGATACCACACGGGCGTTTGAATCACGGCAGCCGCTAATCTGCTACAACTGCAAAAAGGAAGGGCACATCGCGATAAAGTGTAAGCAAAAGTTTGCTTTTGCAACAATTCAAGAATCGGAAAAGAACATGCGGTTGTTAGAGCCGTATCTCCAAGAAATTAGGGTGAATGGGAAAACGTGTCGAGCACTTCGTGACTCAGCGGCAACCATGGACGTTGTCCATCCTTCATTGGTGTCTCCGGATGACTTTACAGGAGAATGCGCGTGGATCAGGCAAGTCGCCGAGGAGCATAGTGCTTACTTACCAATCGCTACGGTTGTTATTGGAAGCCCGTTTGGTAAGCTTCGCACCGAAGCGGCTGTGTCTGCCCCGCTTCCCGATCGTTTTCTTTATCTTTTCTCTAAGAATTCAGAGCAGCATCTCAAAGAGCAGGGCAAATCGTTCTTCCCCAACTTAGCGTACATGGCCCTCACATGATCGCAAGCACGGAAGCTTTCGCAGGAGCTTGATCTTGTTTAATGCTGTGAACCTTCAAGTGACCTTGGCGGCGAGTCGACGGAACGTCAGAGAGGAAATTCTCCGTGTGAGTCATGTGAGCAGTCACTCGAGCGGCCCGTTGCCGAAGCGACCGGCGTGGTTTCGGTAGCAGGGGGAGA